CAAAAGGAACAGAAGTTATTAAGCTTCGAAGAGAACATACTAACATCCATACACAGAAAAAAATCCCCAAATTTTTTTGCATTTCTTTGATGTTTCAAGGTGTCCTAAGTCCAAAAATGTAAAACTCTGGAAGGTCATTTTTTGCCAGATCACCATAGTTTCCCTCTGTATAAAAACTGGGAAAGTAATAAATTCAAAATTTATAATGTATTCCTATTGACAAACTTAATTAAAATAAAAGATTTTAAATAACAGATTAATAAAATAAAAGGCTTTTTTTTTTGGTTATAATAATTTTAGAAAATATACTTTAAAAGTTTATTTATTTTGAATTTTTAATAATGTCATCATATCCATAAATAAATACATAAACATGGTTAACATAGTTCAGAATTTTGAATTTATTTAGGCATATCATTTCAAATATATAATGATTTTGTAGGAATTAAAAAAGAACAAAACATTAAACTTATAATCATATTGTAAAAAATTGTACATTATTCTACCAATGTAAAATATATATTATATAAATAAAAAAATATATATAAAAATATAATGGACTTGCCTAATATTTTATAAGAATTAGGAGGAGGAAAAAAGTTAGGAAGAAATAGCCACTCTCTTAATTCAGGATTCATTGATTTAGCCCATGGATAGTCTGTTATAAAAATTACACAAATAAACATCATATAAATTACTTATATATTTCATTGCATAAAAATGTAATTAGAAAATTAAAATACTAACGATAACTGATAAATATTTTATTACAGATTAATAGATATTAATTACTCATATTTTTATTGAAAAACTTACACTTCAATAACTGGTTATTTTGTTTATTTGATTATAATTTCAAAGAAATATAAATTTCAAAGAAATATAATTGAACTATTTTCACATAATTTTAAAATATTTAAAAAAATATCCTTTTAAAGTTTTAATGATATTAATGTTATGTTTAAAATTAAAAATGAAATTAAGTATTCGAAATAAAAATAACAATTACAATCAAATACACTGCCATAAAACTATTATAAATTATGAGAGATCATTATTGTTTTATTAGACCAAAATTAGAACTTACCAATACAAAATCCTGGAGGAATTCCAACACAAAGCATATATTGAAATGGAAGTGAGAGGCAAAGATATGCCACATAAAAACACCATATTTTTGCAAGAGTTTGTCGACGTAATAAGAAAAGAGCACATAACCAAACTGCTGATATAACTGCGTAAACGTCTAATCTTACTCCAATACAAGATACAATTGTCACAAAGCAAAACTATTAAATAAATTATTATAAATAAAAATATTTTTAGATAATAATATATTATAAATAAAGCATTTGCTTTGGCACAAATTATCTTGACAGTATTCATATGCAAAAATAAAATTTTTGTCAATTGCACACAATAATTTTAAAACTGAAATACTGTATTAGCCCAAATATACATTGACTCCAAATCTTAGTCCTTACTTTTTGAAAAATTAGGACTCATATATAAGTCAATCTTTTATTATTAATTTTATTTGCTTACAGTTAGGAATTTACACTTAAAGAAACTTTGGAAAGTCATTGAAACAATACTTCATCTTAATCTGAACTTTCAATGTCATTATTTATGTTTCATATTTCATTAATTTGACTCCTAGATATTTTTAAATACAATCATCACAAAAATTTTCCGAGTGTTGTTTTAGTAATTTTAACAAATTACAATTAAATCACACCTAACTGATCAGAAAATTGTATTCAAAGGGTTTATGCTTTATATGATATAGGTGTCCAGTATTCATATGTGACAAATTACTGTTTCTTTTTTGTTGACATAAACAAAACATGAAATTAATAAAAGTTATAAAGCAAACTTGACTGATTCTGTTGAATATCATAAAAAGCAATCAGCTCAGTTTAATCAATCACTCAAAAACAATCAGCTCGAAATAAGTTTTACCATTAGGCAAACTTAGTGATTGCCTAAGAATATGGGGACAGCAGCCTTACTCGTAAAATAAAGAAAAGCTAGATTGTTAATTAGTGTTAATTAATAAAAACTTTTTAAATGTTAATAATTATATTATTTTTATAAATATCCACATGTATGGGTAAATTTGTTTGAGTATGATAATGNGGTGTAGCATTTATTTTAGGTGAGAAGGTAAAAAATTCAGTTGAAAGAATTGAATGCAGAGGTGACAGAATTTTAATGATTAAAATAAAAAGCGATCCCATGGATATGATGATATTTCAAGTATACATGCCTACTGGAGACTATGACGATGAAGAAGTAGAAGAAATTTATGACCAAATTGAAGATATAATAGAAAATGATAAAACTAAGAAATGCCTAATTGTTATGGGAGACTGGAATGCATCTGTAGGAGGAGGAGGAGATGGAAAAATTGTGGGCAAGTTTGGGCTAGGAAATAGGAATGAAAGAGGCGAACGACTAGTTGAATTTGCTACCAAGCATAAATTAATAGTTGGAAACACACGGTTCAAACAATCCAAACATCGACTATACACTTGGAAAATGCCCAGAGACATTGGAAGGTATCAAATAGATTATATTCTTATTCAAAGTCGTTTTAGGAATGCAGTCAAGAAAATTCAGACATATCCAGGAGCAGATGCAGATTCTGATCACAACTTATTAACTGCAAATATTGGGATGAAATTGAAAAAAGTTTTGAGAGCCAAAAGAATAAAAAGATGGAATTTGGAAAAGCTAAATGGAAATACTGGATTAAATTTTAAAGAAAACCTGGAATATAAATTAAAAGAACTTCCATATGACTTTGTGAGTTTTGACCCAAACAAAAATTGGAAAAGAATTAAAGATACAATAAAGGAATCGGCTGAAAATTTTCTTGGATATGTAAATGGTGCTAGAATAAAAAAACCTTGGATTACTCAAGAAATGATTGAGAAAATGGATGAAAGAAGAAATTGGAAAAATATAAATAATGAAAAAAAGGGAGAATAATGAACAAGAAGCTAAATAATGAATTGAGGCATGAAACTGGAAAAGCTAGAGAAGCTTGGTTAAGTAAGGAATGTGAGGAAATCGAAAAACTGAACAAAAAAGGCAGATATGATCTATCATACAAAAAAGTCAAAGAACTAACAAATGATCTCACCCACCAAATTCTGAATATTGAAGACAAAGATGGAAAAGCACTTTTAACCCCAACTAATATAATGGGCCATTGGAAAGAATATATTGGAGATCTCTATGGAGAGAACACCAAACCTAAAGAGTTAAAATTGGAAAAATCTTCTCAAATAGCTAATGATGAAAGAGGACCTATTATCATGAAAGATGAAGTTGGATTGGCAATTAAAGAATTGAAAAACAAAAAGTCTGAAGGAGTAGATGGAATACCAGCTGAATTTCTAAAAGGGTTAGGCAAGGAAGGAATTGAGAAAATAACAGACTTATGCAATCTCATACATAAAACAGGAGAATGGTCTGAAGACTTTGCTCAAAGTATTTTGATACCTATACCAAAGAAAGCAAAAGCTAAAAAGTGTAGTGATTTTAGAACAATTAGTTTAATTTCACACACCTCAAAAATCCTTCTTAAAATCATTAACAGAAGACTCTACAACAAGGCTGATACATTTCTATGTGAAGAACAATTTGGATTCAGAAAGGGAAAAGGAACAAGGGATGCTATTGGCCTCTTGAGAACAATCTGTGAAAGAAACATTGAGGTTAATAAGGATACGTACATTTGCTTTATTGACATGAAAAAGGCTTTTGATATGGTTAACTGGACAAAGCTAATGGAAATCTTAAGAAAAATAGGAACAGATTGGAGAGATAGAAGACTCATTGCATCACTTTATATGAATCAATCTGCCATTATCCGAACAAAAACTGGAGAAAGCAAACCATGCAGTATTGGGAAAGGAGTCAGGCAAGGGTGTACACTTTCACCTACTCTTTTTAACATTTATCTTGAAGAATTAATGAATGAAGCAATAAGTGAGGACAACCTCAAAATTAAAATTGGAGGCCAATTAATACAAAGTATTAGGTTTGCAGATGATATTGCTTTACTTGCACCAAATGAACAAACTCTACAATGTTTGGTAACAAAACTCAACAAAACTTGCAAAAAATTTGGAATGAAAATTAACATAGCTAAAACAAAACTGATGAAAGTTGGAAGGCTAATTAGCAAAGATTTGAAAATCCTAATTAATGGAAACAAAATAGAGCAAGTTCAACATTTTAGGTATCTTGGCAGCATTATTCAGGGAGATGGCAGATGTGAAAAAGAAATCAAAGAATGAATCAGGGCTGAAAAAATGGCTTTTTATAAGAAGAAGAACCTTCTTATTGGAAAAATGAACCTAACACTTAAAAAGAAGTTAATAAAATGCTTTTTCTGGAGCATAACTTTATATGGAGCAGAGACTTGGACCTTAAGGAAAAAGGAAACAAACTACCTTGAAGCATATGAAATGTGGTTATGGCGAAGAATGGAGAAAATCAAGTGGACAGAAAAGGTTAAGAATGAAGATGTTTTAAATTTGGTCCAGGAACAGAGATCTCTTTTAAAAACAATACAAAGAAGAAAAAATAACTGGCTAGGTCATATATTGCGAGGAGAAGGATTAATGCGAGTGGCATTAGAAGGAAAAATTGATGCAAGGAAACAAAGAGGAAGAAAAAGAAAAGTATTGATAGATGATGTTTTACTAGGCAAAA